ATATATCTTATTAACCAAGCGCGAGGGCCGTACTGGGAGAATATCGGCCCGAGGTCTTGACAGTACGGACCGAGCGCAGCGAGGTCCGTACAAAAAAGACCGAGGGCCGATATTCTTCCAGTACGGTCCCGAGCAAGCTTGGTTAATAAGAGATTTATTATACGACTGAAGTTCAAAGGGACACAAGTGCGGTATCATTCGGGACCATTCTGGACAGTGCCCGGTCCAATACTGAGAGAATATTGACCGGCAATAGAGCATTTTGCCGGATTGGTTGATTTTAGTTATTGGCCCTCTGACTGCCCGAGTCGTGTAATAAAAATATATAATCTTTTGCCTCACAATGTAGTAAAAGTCACAGGGCAAACTGGTGTTGGTTCGTTCAAATAGTTGTCAAAGGAAAACTGGCTCCTTATGAAATAATTTGAAACCTTCATAGCTGACATGAACGAACACACAATGTAAATGCCATTCACTCGTAGGTTTCACTATCAATTAAGCAAGCAGTTAATTTGTAACCCTACATTGGAAAACGTGTATACTAAGGTGAAACGCTCGGATACAGTAAAATGGTACGCTAAACAATAGGTGCGTTAAGTCTTCAAACTGTTTATAACATGACTGTTCAGACTTGTTAGTCGCGGGGTTTGTTTTAAGAGCTAATATCCTGACACCAGCTTTTGAACAATGCTTGCTGGCTCATCCTCCCTTACCTATTCCCAGACTCTTCGCGACCTACAATCTACCGTGGTCTTTATCATTTCCTGTCATTACTATGAATGTCTTACCACATGACTAATGATACCATTTCCATGATAATTTCATTCAGCGACTCGATGAAGGCTTTCACGGGCAATCCACGTTCTCCAACGCGCCCCAATACGATACCGAACACAATGGAAAACATAACCAACCCAAGGACGTTCATATTTCGGGAAGCAATTTCGAGTCCCGCGGGAACCATTGTTGATCCCGGAGCTAGCTCCTCGTCCTTATGAACTGTGTAGTTGTGAGTCCCGTTCCTTATCGTATCGTTATATGTTTTGACGATGGGATCGACAGTCTTGTATTTTGTTCGTTTCTGTCAATAAAGATTAACCACTTAATCATAAAAATTACAATTTTCTTGATTGTGATTGGTTTAAAAAAACTCCTATTTTCCACTAAGTCACAGTTTATCGGATATTTCAATGAGCTGATCACATTTAAAGTTGTAGTTCTAATCAATCAATCACATTCAAAGTTTTAGTTTAAATCAACTAATCACAACCTCAGCTTGGTTTCTATTAATGCAAATTTTCACTTTTTTTCAAAACTTGGCTATCCTTCTTTTCTCGGAAATTGTAATTTTTATGATAATCGGTGAGAAGACTTCGTGTCGTCCAATTCGGTCTATAACCATAATCGTGACAAACAAATCGGTCTCCCGCTAGGTGGTCGTCGGATTTTGTATGATTACAGACCGAAATGAACTCCACTCAATCTCATTACTATAACTAGGCTTGCTACAAACTTTAAAGGGAAAGTACGGTCTAGAAAAAGCTTATTTTTATCAAAAGTTCCTTACTTGCATTGTACTAGCTTACTATTCATTTGAGCTAAGAGCGTTTTACTTGCGTACAATTACGTTCCAAACATCGACATTTTCAAATTGAAACATCTTTATTATGACGTAGCAATAGTCAAGCACGCTCATTTAAATCCCTGCTGAGATGAATGTAAACAAGGAAAACAGCGGCGAGGAGAGCGCTTTCGATTAAATTCTCGACTTGACAACTGCTACGTCATATCCAAGATGGCGTATTTCTAACCACGAAAGTTGCAAAAAAGGGCAACTTCAAAGCGCTCTTGTCGCTAGTGCAAGGAGAACTGGACAAAATGACGGTTAGTTTTCAAACTCCTGAGGAAAAGTCTTCCAACTGAGATAAACTTTTTTGGACCGTACTTTCCCTTTAAGCACTGATTATAATTATGATAATACTCAGCTTTCTGTTTTTGAAGCTGAAAACGATTGATCGTATCAAGAACTTGTATTCGAGCACACAAGTCTTGGCGGGTCGAAAGCGGGAAATTCACCATGTTCATTAGACTTTATGGGAGTACCTGCCTAAATGGGCTGCCGTTTTCATTTCAAAGGTGTACGAAAGAAAAGGGATTTTCTGAGTGAAGGTTTAGGGTAGATTTTAACATGAGAGGGGGTTACCCAAGAAAAAAGTGAGTAAAAGTTGTTCCGTTGAAAACTGAACTCATAAAACCATAAACTTTGTAAGCAGCCTCACTTTCTAATGCTAGCCTCCCTCCCAAGTTTAGCTTCAAGTTTCTCAAGGACTTCTCTTCTAACTCCACCCTTCCGCGAATAAAGACTATCACGGTCGAAAATCGAGACAAATTCAAATTCCGGAAATTCATTTTCGGTAGCTTCCCACTTTTTCTTTTCCGTAAATCTTTGGAATAGAAGGGACCACTCATTATTTATCGTCGGCCGGGTGGGGGAGGAGGATGGGAGGGAAAGGAGAGGGTCAGACGTCACCAACAAACTATAAGGGGGGAGGGGACTGTACAAAATTGACTGCCAAGTAACTATCGATGAGGAAGTATCATGAGGATATTATATGAGGGATGAAGTAAATTTTAGCGTGACACAACTAAAAACCTCCACCCCCCCTCCCCTTCCCTGAGGGGATAAATAGCGACCCGTACCGAATGTTCCAGCAGTGGAAGAGGGTCTGGATGAGGGGTACAAATGTCAGTTGTCAGTTAAAATTTTGGCCATTTATCAGTTGTCAGTTAAGTAAGTGTTGATTGGTGAGTTAATTATTACTTTCCGACCCTATTTTTGGCTAAAACGGACGCGTATAGCTTAAAGTCGAAAATCAAGTCTAAAATTGATACAATGAGAACTCCTTTTTCACAATTTTGGAATGAATTAATTCCAAGATCTTTCAAGTGACCTTCAGTCGTTGTTTGAAGGGTGGAACTCTTCTGCACATAAACTTCTGATTACCCGTACGCAGCATTGAAATATTCCTTTTCAACCACTTTGCCGGTCAAAATGTCGGAAAGAAGATTATCAGAAAGACAACAAACTTGTGAAGAGTCCTCTAGCATAATACATTGGTTTTATGTTTTGTTTCACAATGCGTCGATTGCGATTGGCTCATGAAATTATCGGAAAGGAATATTCTTTTGTCTCCTTTTCAGTCAGATTATTAGTGATATCTAGTGTAAGAGTACCTTGGAAATCCACGCGAAAAGGGGTACGAATTGGCCGCCCAGATCTAGAAACCGTAATTGGGGTAATATCTTTATCCTCTCGATCAGAAAAGTCGTTTTCTGAGTCCATTTCATATTCGTCCACATATGTTCGCACCTCAACGATTCAGTTGTCAACAAATGTGACATCTGTCACATTTCCACCTCCGATGTAGCCTGAACGGCTCTTTTGTCGCTGCTGAGCCCCATTGGTTGATCTCCAGCGTTAAAATCGTTCCCTAGCCTTGCGACCAAGGAATGAAAAAAGGTTCTTTTTCGGTACTAATACGGTGTTTACATCGTTAAGAGGAATGTGGCTTATGTGACGCTCAAGTACCGTTTCCGGATCAATTCGATAAAAGTCTACAACAGCTTTTAAAGTACCAGCATTGACGGCTATAGCGTAAGTTGACGATCGGGTTTGGTATCAAAGATCATATCCGATATGTGACGTGTGACCTTGATGTGGAAGGTCCATGCGGCAATTACTAGCGAAATATGACACAATGGCCTACTCCTACTGATATGTAATAAAACACGTACTTTTATTGCAAAAAATAAATCAACTTTTCTTATTTTATATCCAGTTTTTAGGATATTTAGGGCGTTCCAGTGTTTTTTCAGCTGTCAGTAAAAGCCCACCACAAATGTCAGTTGTCAGATTTTCAGCGATTTGTCAGTTGTCAGTTAACCCCACACAGACCCTCGTGGATCGGAGCTATGGAGGTTTCTGTTAGCAACGACTTACTTGTATGAAAGATGCCTCCACCAGGTTGACGGGAAAGCAGCTCCTGTAATGTAATAGTAAAGAAACAGAAACAAAATAAGAGAAAACAGTATGACTTCTATTCTGAGCTTTGGGATGAGAAAAAAAAAATGATATACCTGTGTGAGAAATTAATTCTGATCCACTTCAAAAGTAAACATCACATATGAGGGCAAAAATCAAACACTATATTCCTCTGGGAAATATATGGTTCAACCCCTCTGGGAAATATATGGTTTGACCCCTTTGGGAAATATATAATAGGGGGGGGGGGGTGCGGATATCAAATGGAATGGCCCAGTCAAGCTTCTGCTCAGACGCAGCCGTTACTCTTTGGAAAAAGTGATCTGATAATAACTTGCATGCATGGTTAATCAGGCGGTAAAAATCATTGTACGCAAATATCAATTTAAAATAATCTTTTACTTTACCGTCTTTGCCACAAGAACCCCTGGTGCTCTCACTTAAGAACAATGTATCACTGTCACAGATAAGCTTATTTGCCTAAATTTTTCAAGAGTCCTTGATTGAAATTAAAGGTGTAGCGTGCATTCATTCTCATTAGCCGTTTTGTTAAGAGTTGATAAAAATAATTATCATTTTATTCCACAATTACACTGCCTCGTGAAATTGTTTTTTTTTTCTTTTCGTTCCGTGTAACTTTATATATGTGACTCAAAACTAAAAAAACATGATCATTACTATGAATATTCATGTCAGTTGAGTAAAATTTGATTCATTTGAATAGGCTTAAATTTTGATGCCCATTTGGGTGGAATATTCTTGAATAATTTTGGTTTGCACAGAAGTACTATTTATGTCATGTTATTGTCAACTGAACTTATGACCTGTCGCCTGAGACAAACTAATGTGATTTGCATACTATCAAAAATGGTGGATATTGTTTCTCTATGCCAAGAGGTTGTGTTAATGACCTACTAATTCATAGGATCTAGATGTACTGTCCCGGAAATCATTGATGGATTGATTATCGACGGGACTGGGCGAAATAAGTCTACAATACATCTGACCTCTCTCTATTCAATAAATCTCAGTTTATAAACGAAGGATTAATTTGCAATTCTGCGCTTAATCACTTAAAAATATTGCCCGTGCGGCTAAGGTGTTTGGTGGAGGAAAGTTGATCCCAACACATGGTTTAAGTGCAATCGCAGGTTGTATTTGCTCTGTCGTCATTTTCAACCGACCTGAAAGCACAATGATGTCTCATCAATATGATAAATCCATGATCAAAGCTCACCTCAAAAGATCGAGAAGTGAATCAAGACCACGATAAGGTCTAGAAAGCTGTTTGTCAGTTCCTTCGGGTTTGCTTCGCTTTCCCGGGCGTATAGAAATGACTAAGACGATTCCAAGCAGCACAGCGATCAGCATAGTTCCCATGTAATAAAGCACGGTTCGACGACCGATTCGTCCTGTTGCTTTGGAGTCCAGCGTGGCCAAGGCGGTGATCAAACTTGCAACAATCAGCGGCAGAATCAACAACTTCAGCATGTTCATGAAGAGCTCACCCGGAAATCCAATCAACATGATGGTTGTGGCTTTCTTCTCTGGGTCTTTGATATCGTTCACGCTCTCGTTTACCGATAAACCTATAATGAAGCCGACGAGTACTCCCAAAATGATGAGAACGAGGAGCAGTTCTTTGCGAATGTGATGTAAGACTTTTCCACAGCAGGAACGTAAACGTCTGTTCTTACCTCGGCCCATGTTTTACAGCTCTCCTTGCCGCTGTCTTTCACTGGACTAGGATAGGATGAGTTCCGTACGATGTACAACCCAAGCTTCAGAAACTTCACCAGACGTGATATACTGTTTGTAAATAGCTTGATTGTTTGGCGTCCCTATTTGTCTCGCTTGGTTGACTGGATTTTTTTTTGTCAGGTGGGGGTTGCGGAAAACAAAGCGTTTGAAGCGTCGGGTCAAGCGCTTGCGATATTTATTTACTAAGAACTGGAAGCCAGCCAGGGAATGTGCTTAGAGGGACTACCAATGCTCGAAGACCTTCCTTACAATTTTTAATCTAATACACAATTAATTTAGTGTAGTTGTTCTGAGAACCGAGAGATTTCGCGCTATTTGGTTTGACGTGAAAATTGTGTAATGTTCATATGCATTCTAATCATGTTAACTTGACTGAACAATACCGTCCCAGAATGGAAAAGCCGAGAGTTGCACGCTCAGGTTGCTCTAAGAACAAAGTGCAGCAACGTTGTTTGCACTACTCGGCATTCATAACATTTTCCCCTGCTTGATATAAAGAGTAGCAAAGAGTTTGTTCGTAACGCGTGATTAAAGGTCAATTAATATGCGAGCGTGAATTTTTTTTCAGAAAGGCAAGCGTTATTCGAAAATTTATGAACCACCCTGGGGCGTAATTCACCGCTGACGTTCTATAATCGTCCTTGATTTTTCTCTTTCATTTCGTGAAAACCTCAAGGTTTCCACGAACCTGTGTAAATGAAGAGAGATTTGAAGTTTTCTCCATTAGAAAGGTTATATTCGTGAAGGCGCGTGAATTGTTCTAAAATACGTGCGTGAATCGGGTTCAGGATCCCTGCCTCACCGACCTTGCTACCCTCAATATGGTCAAGCTTGAAAAGGGCGTCAGTCGTTAGCAACTACACATCAACTTAGAAGAGCAAGGCAAACATTCTCCTTCGATTGTGATAATGCCGTGTTCTTCTACACTTTGACTCTGAATTTAGAAAAAAAAAAAAAAGAAAGAAAATGTATTATTTTCAGAGATCGCAAAACAGCCGAAAGGAAGACAAAAGAAGTTAAGTTCTCAGTGTCTGCTGATTTAGGAAGTTGCGAATATCACTTTTTATTGATCACGTTTTTACACGTGAACTCGTTGATTTTCCCGTAGCCGGTGATGAATTGCTGGCACTGACTGGATTCATCGTGAAACATCATTTCATGGAAGTTTCTAAATAAAGTTAGCAATTTATGTAAGCAAACACAGCTGAGAACTGCTTTTATGTGTAAAGAACTGTCTCGGAACGCCGGTACTTCGCAATGCCTCAGACGGAGGACTCTTGGGTCGACTTTTCGCCGATTACGAAATTCGAGCTTGCCCGATGTCTTCTTTAAGACTCGCAAAGTAGAATGGAAAGGATCACGCACGCACTTCTTTGTAACTTGTGAAGTTGTATTTGTCTACGGATATTTGCATTTTTTATCTGTTTATTAGCATAACTTATTTACAAGCCTCGATCCACTTCACGGATGGCTGATCACATCTTGTACATCTTGACATCTCCAAAGTCTCCCAAGTGTAGGTTGTCAAAACACCGGAAATTGTTTCATAAATGTGTTTTCGTTTTCGTAAGAGAGAGGGAGGGTTAATTATCTCAGCTCCTTGAATAAAGCTGGGTTGAAAAATATTTTTCAACCTAGAAATTTTAGTTTGTCAGATAGCATCATGAATTATATCGCCTGTTATAATAACGTTTTAAATTAAAATTTTCCATTTTGTACCGACATCTTTTTATTCTCTATATCTAATCGTTCGTATACATAATTTTAATTTTTGTAAACTTTTGCTATTATTAGGATAGAGGGCCACTAGTTTATCAGATATATCTGTCATGTGTCACCCTTTTTGTGTGGCTTGCACAAACTGTATAGCCACATTATGGAACGATCGGATTTATTTATTTATTTATTTATTTGTCCACGAGAGTCAAGCGCCTGTCACGTGGTCTAGTGTCGTACGACGCACTAGTTTTGAGTTAGCCATCTTGGTTGTAAGAATGGCCTCGAGTAATTTTTTTCTGGTGATCGTATCACGAGTTAGTGCTTCTCACATAAATCAACACACCCAGACCCGGCTTGTGTTATAACTGCAGCTTGTGCAAGACCTTTTACACTCTTAATAGACAACATTTAACTACTTGAATCTCCGGTACGGGTTGTACTACACTGAAAAAAGTCATTGCACTCTCGCAGCCAACAGCAGTATCGGTTTGATCTATCGGTGCGGGTTAATAATAATAATAATAATAATAATAATAATAATAATAATGATAATAATAACAATAATGATAATAATAATAATAATAATAATAATAATAATAATGATAATAATAATAATTGTCACTAATAATTGTTGTTGGGTTGCACCACTGAGTGACTGAAAGTGTTTGAAAGTGTTTGAAAGTGTCTGAAGTGTTTGAAAGTGTCTGAAGTCTGAAAGTGTTTGAATGTGTCTGAAGCCTCCTGAAAGTGCCATAAAGTGAAATAAGTTGTGTTGCAGTTGCATTCTCCTTGCACTGTTGAGAATTCATGGAGGCATATTTCAAAACGACAAAAGTGAGTATGGGAATCTCGATTGAACAATACTGGTCAAGGATTGGCTCTCATGACAATTTCGGGAAAACGAAGGATAACTTATCACGTTTTAAGGATCATTTTTGGAGTTTGATGCTTATGATGCTCTATTTAAATGTATTTTACCTACCAGTATTCAGAAACAAGTAGTTGGACAACACAAAATGTGGAATGATGTGATGTTTTGGTTTTCACAAATGATTTTCTACAAAGCTTATATTCCATTGCTTATAGGAGCCTAGTAGTTTAATGTTACAACTGAAATGTGATTAGTATTATGTTTTCGAAGTAATGCTCAGAATTATTCAGACCTTAACATTTCATGACTTCCTGTAAGCTCGGCAGTCTTCTAAACTCTTTTCATAATGGTTCAGATGAGCATTGATATTCAACCTTCAGGTCGTAATACATGTGTATTAGGCCTTAATTTGGTAGCTACAACTCTTTTTTCGGTTACTTGTTTGGTTTTGGTTGATTCATCACAATACTGATATACATGAAACATTACACTCTTGATTGGCTGAAAACAGCTAGGCACCTTTTTTCATGTATCATTAATGCAAAAGTAATAACTCAGGTACAAATGTAAACTACTGGTAGGCTAAGCAACAATAAATCACACTAGGAACCAATTAGATTTACATGAAGCAGGTTGTGCTGATTGATAGTAGCTGACCAAAATAAGCTTGGATATTTTTATGCATGTTGATAAACACTACCAAAATTGCATTCCTGAGTAAGATTTCAGCTGAAGGGCAAATTTTGATAGAATGTCAAGTTGACCATTTATATGATGATGTCAAGTTCACCTATTCATTTCATGTCTCCACATAGCTTGAATTAGAGAAACAAACTGGCATGAATTATAACAATAATAAGAAATCTTGAAAGATTCTGGTACTTTAAATCATATGGTACCATCATGCACTTGCCTGTACATTGAACTTTTTTCTGTTTAAGTTATATCTCTGATTGTTGTTCCTGAAATCCATTATGGTGACACTCTATATCTCTATTGAACTTTATGTTCAATAAAACCTCTAGGTCAATTGTAAATCTTAGTGGGTTAAAAACTATTAGCAATGTTAAAGTAATGTTACTGCAGAATACTACTCAACATATGATTCATTAAAATATTGCTTGTGTTCTGATGTTGTTAGGCCCCTATCTTTTTTCCCTAAATTCTTCCATTTACATTACCCCATATCCACCTACCTCAACTAAATTCTTCTGTGTTCTTTATTGAAAATACAGTCCTACAAAACCCAGATAAAATAATTATAGTAAATGATTTGCTCTCAACAAATTGAGAAAAGAACTTTGTGCTGAAATGGATCATAGAAACCTACGCTCAGCGTTGTGTTACTTTACATGTGTGTTTTGTCCAAAATTAGTCATACATTCAAACCAAA